TCTTTTAAAAAAGAGGTAATAGTACCTACCATAGAAGGATTCCCATTACCATCACTAATTCTAGTGATGATATGAAATGGTCTAGGACCCAGACTGGCACAAAGTTGACCTTTAGTGAAGAGTAGCTGTACCACAGAAGCTTTGGATCAGAGAGTTTTCTTGTAGTAACACCCTGCTCTCCCCTCTCTTTCCCTGGGGTGAGATGGGTGTATAATTGTCAGGTTGCTGCTGTTTAATGCTCATTAACTTGACATCATTATGTCTCCTGAGAACCATGGCACAGCTTTCTCTTTGGGTTGGGGCAAGAATCTCAGGGCCCTTGTTGCTGCCATCCCAGCCCCACGGTCCTGTATGTATACCTGAAGGAATTGTCTGTGGGATATGGTATGGGAAAAAGTGTTCCAGGGAACATTTCTCATGACAGGTGTGGGAGGTATGCTTAACTCTTCAAGTAGTCCCAGTAAAATTGTCTCTTTATTGGTTGGTTTTTAAAGCTAAATTGGGAGCAAATTGTAGTAGCTGTTGGCTTTGTCTCAGAGCAGATGGTAACATGCAGTTTCTTCATGGAGAAGGAAACAGGGGTAGTAATAATTTCAGCTGAGCCATGAGCACCAGGGTGGCTGGAGTGCATTGCTATTAATGGCTGGATGCCATTAGCTTTAATAGGCAACATGCTGAACCAATCCTCAGTCAAAATTATGAGTCATTCTTAGTGGTGAGTGGACAGTACAGGATGCTGTTCCTAGATATGATCAGAGCACTGCGTTAGCAGATAGATAGATGTGACCCCATTTTACAGACAGGGAAAACTGTGTGGCAGAACTAAAACCAAAACTCTGAACCTTTGACTCTGCTCCCAGTTCTGACAGGATTGGGACAGACAGACAGTGTTGTCTCTTTTCTATACTGGTGATTACTCAGTATATTGGTTCAAGAAATAATGTATATTATACATTACTTCAAAAGAGTGAGAATCCCATTTTTCTGGTTTTTTTGCTCCCACATCTTTACTTATCACATCTGTAACCCATACTTTAAACATCTGACTTTGGGGATATGATATATATTCCACTTCTATGTAGTATACTAACTAGAAAATTGGTTATTTATTAAAGATACTACATTATCATCATTTTGTTATTTAGAGTTTGCTGAAAACACGGAAAACTTGAAAACCAAAATGTCAGAACTAAGACTCTACTGTGACCTCCTTGTTCGGCAAGTAGATAAAACAAAAGAAGTGACCACAACTGGAGTGTCCAATTCTGAGGTAAAATATTATTAATATTACACATGAAAAATATCACCAGATGTTGCTTATAGGTGATACTCACTCACATAATCTATGACTATCTTGGACTTTACTATTTTATAGAAGAAAAAAGTAATAAAATACATAACAAAAAATGTGAAATGTGTGCATTTCAGCACATGGAAGCGTATGATTTTCCTTCCTGGAATGAAACGGGGATTAAATTAATTGTTAACATTTGGGACCTTTAACTTTAGTACTGACATACTAAAATACTCCTAT